TGTCTAATAGAAAATTTTATACAATTATTTCTAACACAATTTATTACAAATTGCTATGTAAGTGAGTCAGTCGAACCCTCATTACACTCTTAAAATCTTAATATGAAATTGCAACACAACATTTGACTCATAAAAATTGCATTAATTTTGATTTGCAAATCCAACAAATCCAAGTAATCGAAATTAGTTTCGTACATTTGAATACTGGTACCGTAAATAAGACTTCGATTAAATTTGCGCATTAAAATTGCATTAATCCAAGCGCTAATCCAAGTATCTGTAATCGATTATGCAATAATTGCGCCACTTTAAATTGAAACGTTTATTTAATCCGCTCACTATTTAATTTATACTACACACTCCCACGGACTGTACTCTATGGTCACTTTTGCACAAAACTCTACAGATTGCAATTTTGTACTTCACTGATGTGAGTAAAGACTCACACTCACATCAGATATCGCATATCAGACATTGTCATAAACAAAATTGTGCACTTCGCATTTACATGAATTATTAATGTTGCTCCTATCGCCAACGACAATTGTAATCACTCGTCGTTTTAGTGCCTCTTAAAGGATTTACGGCAAATGACTTGAATCAAATTGATTTCCTTGGTATATAATTTCATGCAATTCAATTAAATTTATGTACATGCAATTAAAAATTCGAAAGAAATTTATTTCTAAATTTTATATCAATTTTTACTATCCATTAATCAAACAATAAATGTTAGTAATTAATTTTAAGTGAATAAGTGGACAGGTGTTATATTATGACGTACATAGTAACTAATGTTTTGGATTACTTGTTAGGAGAACTGTTAGATTTTACTCATATGAGAGGCAGGATGACCTTCTATGTAAAATCCATTTAAAAACAAAAAGTTTCCAAATCTGTAGTTGATTTAAATTTAACTTTAAAAGTTTTAAATAAAATGTGAAGACTATATTTAAACATATATCGGATACATGATATTATCGGATGTTTCTAGGATGAAATCGGATTATGATTTCATAGATTCATTCATTATCTTACTATTAAAAATATTTTTTACATAATAAATCTGCACGGGATGCAAATAAGAATGATAGAGAGCAACAATAATTGCACCCATAGGTCCACAAAGTTAAATTATATCAACCTTTTCGGTTGCCTATATGGCTATAAAAATATTGTTCTGTTTTTATATACAATTCTTTTATGAAATTTAGTTGCTGATTGTAGTTAAAGCGTTTTCACACTCAACTCCATTTTTATTTTCTAGTAGATGAAGAGTATGAAAAGCCACAGTGTGATACTTTAACTCTCTAAAACCACCTCTTAGAAAGGAATACTGAAGATTCCAACTGTTGATCGTGAACATCATGCTGCTGAGTACATCATTGCAATAATTAGGGGAGTGTTGGAGTGTGAATAGAATCACTACTTAGAAACTGATACTTTAACTCTCTAAAACCATCTCCTAGAAAGGAATACTGAAGAATTCAGTTGTTTATCGTGAACAACATGGTGCTGAGTATATCATTCCAATAATTAGGGGAGAGTTGGAGTGTGAATAGAATCACTACTTAGAAACTGATACTTTAACTCTCTAAAACTATCTCCTAGAAAGGAATACTGAAGATTCCAGCTGTTGATCGTGAACATCATGGTGCTGAGTACATCATTTCAATAATTAGGGGAGAGTTGGATGGTGAATAGAATCACTACTTAGAAACTGATACTTTAATTCTCTAAAACCATCTGTTAGAAAGGAATACAGAAGATTCCAGTTGTTGATCGTGAATAACATGGTGCTGATTCTGTAACCGGAATTGCGTAATTCGCTTCTATGGAGAGGGATGCTGGGAGCACCTGAATACAACTCATTGAATTGAATAAAAGAGATTAGTAGAGCTTATACTAATTGACAGATACTTAGTCATGTAATAGAGTGCTAGATTGGAGAATGTCAAGAAGCGGATCATATAACAGAGTAAGGCACCTCTGAGCGAATGGCAGTAGCTACTCATCAAAATTAAAAGTCAGGGTTTTAGGTTGGAGCATTGTAACTGAAAACTGCTTGCCGTCAAGCAGTGGACATGCTCACATATCCACAAAAATACACTTATTTATTTTCAATAAGAACAAATTCTATGTTTGTTATGGAGCATCAGTGTTTTGACCAACGTGACAAAGCATAGCTTTCTACGTCTTCATGAGCAACATTTAATCAAAATGTATCTTTCTCTCATTCTCAAATTTTAAATTTACAATGAAAGCAATTACAATGTCTCCATGTGTAACATGGCTCGTTCGAAAAAACGGTTTATTTCCATTTGAGGGGAACTGATTGCAAACCACATGAGAAAGGAATACGAAAGAAAGTGACGAACACTCTCACACTTTTAGAAAGTGGCGATTTTATGTAAATAAGGCATTCATTAGTAAAATAAATTTGCTTTACTCCCGAATGATGAATCTAAATCAAAAATTTGAGAAAAAAAATTTCGTAATTTTTGTCTTACGAGAATATATAGTGTCTTTCATATAATATTGTAATTATAATACTCTTCTTTGTCTGTAATATTCTTCCTTGTCTGTAATATTCTGCAATTTTATATTAGTAATGTCAAAATTATGAATACAGATCACTAAAGGTAATATGACATCATAAACGTCGTAAAAGTCACGGCTGTTGTACAGGAGATCATACATTTAACACTAGGTACCCATATATCTTATATCAGTTATTCGATTATGTCAAATGAACGCGTGTGTAAAAGGTAGTATTTTAGTTTAAATGGCAGTTTTGTAATAAATCGATATATAATTTATATTGATAGTAATCGGCAAATAGTTATGAATGTTGTAGGAATCCATTAGGATCAGTGAATAAGTGTGTTTTAGAAGCTATATTTATTGGGATGCAGTACAGGGTCAGGGCATTGAAGTGTTACCTATTCAAGCAACCATATCTTTTTGTATTAAATTATTTTTTATTGATTCAAATTTTAAAAACTTGTCTAACAGCTCAATGGGGAACTTTTCTCATCAGAGAATACAATTTTTGAGAATGAGAAGCTATATTTATTGGGATGCAGTACAGGGTCAGGGGATTGAAGTGTTACCTATTCAAGCAACCATATCTTTTTGTATTAAATTATTTTTTATTGATTCAAATTTTAAAAACTTGTCTAACAGCTCAATGGGGAACTTTTCTCATCAGAGAATACAATTTTTGAGAATTAGCCACGTTTGTGCAAGCGTGACAACATCTTTACTTTTTTGAATATAACTTTTTCTTGCTTTGGCGTAAGATCTTGTGCCTTTTGGAACTTGTAAGGCTTTACCTTGAGCTTATTTTGAATCATGTGTCAGATGCTTCGCTGGGATATTTAAAGCTTTTTCGCTGTTTATTTACCACTATGACGTGGATTTCGTTCAAGTCGAGCCTTTACTTTCCGAATCATTTTAGGTGATGCTCCTGTTTTTTCTTGTCCACTACCATAGTGTTTGGCGACGTTATCTGTATTATCATAACGATTTATGGTACGATACATGATACGATACGATATTTTATTTGCTTTGAGTTCACGAACAATAGCTGGTTGTGATTTTCCAACCGACTTTAACGTAATCACACTATTACGTTTGTATTCCATTTCGAATAACTTTTGTTCTATAAAACTTAGAAACAAATGCTTGTGGTAGCTTGTAAACAATATAAACAGCTATCATTCGTATGAATTTCATGTAGTTGGCAATATCAGTTTGCCAGATATACCTGTGTGTATTTGGTAACACTTCAATCGCCAGGGTTAGTGTTCTTCTTTAAATAATGATAAACTGTTAATTATGGTATGTGTCCACCTCCCTTTCATCGACTCATTCCACTGTTGTTGCCATGTGATCATGGTAGTGCTGCGTGCCTCATCCTTCGGCAATCTACTGTGCCAGATCTCTCGAAGTCCATATGCCAGCAGATCAAGTGGCGGCATACCTGCTATAACACATGCAGCATCATCCGATACAGTGCGGAGAAGAAACCCAGATGGGAGCTTGTTACAATATTACCGAGTTGGTCTCTAAAAGTAATCCTGATATATATGAGAACACCCAGGTACCGCAGGGATAACTTCGAGGTAATTTCGAAACCACAGCTTGAAAACGAGAAGACTTTTGAAGGTCAGTGTGCTTCGATGTAATTGGAATTCTAGACCCCTGCATTTTATTTATATACATGTCATTTGTATATATGTTATTCAGTTAATACTACAGCTTTGGACTGTAATTATTTTATTTTGCTTTTTTTCACATATTTTTGAAATAAGTTCCTTAAATTGTATATACAAATTTTAGTTGACTAGTATATAAAATATTAACAAACTATTTTGAGGTAAAAAAAACCAATTACATAGATACATAGATATCGTAGAAATATTCGTCATATCTAGTAAGTTAAAATTATATCTACTTTGTAGAATCCGAAGTTACATTCATTGCAGTAAATAACTTAATAAAGTAATTTACCGTTTTCGCGCAGTATGTGTAAAGATTATAAAAAGAATATTTTTCTGCTTTAATGCTTTTTATTCACAGAGAGAATGTTGTAAATACTTAAGTCCCCTACCGTCACATCGAAGTCTTTTATTTAAATTGCAATATTTCTTGACTATTAAGTTATCGTTAATTATCAACATAAAATATCTTAAAGATGCATATGGCTATATAACAAAGAGACCAAATAATGACCTTCATGACAAGGACAACGATGGCAAAAATCCAAATGCGTAAGATGGCAAAAAAGTGAAAGAAAAATTGCTATAATTAATGCAGTCGTTGCTCAGATTTCAATGCGGCGAAGGTACTTTGCACAAATGTAAATGTTTTCATCAGGGAAAAAGCAATCTACTAAAACAGAAGCTTCTTCACGCAGCCACTTACAGTATTTTTTCCCCAAATGCAATTGGAAACTGCTGCTCTGCATTTGGAATGTGCAACGTCAATGCCCGAAACTAACGAAGCGCCAATTTTAAGTCATTCGAAGTCTTAACAACAGCATGGAATGGCTCTCCGCTTTTTTGCCTTCCTCCGCATTTATGCTGTCTACTAATTTGCAAGTCCACAGCGTATCGCAACAGAGAGGACCAACTGCTGGCAAAACCTGAAGTAATAAAAATCAAATTTATGGAATCGAATTAAAAGTTCCGTTTTGGTTGGGTGTTTAATACCCAACGTTGACAATTTTGAATGAGACTTTCGCGGGCCACAATTGCTGTTGCCATTGGTATTGAAACTGCAGTTGCAGTTTCAGTTTCAGTTGCTGCTGCTGATGCTGCTGCTGTAGTTGTTTTAAGAAAAAAAAAATACTTAATTAAGCATGTCGAGAATTGGTGATTATATAATGGTTAAAATTCTTGTTGGTGTTGAAAATTTTGTTTAGTAATTGGCGGAGCAAACTTGTCACAAAATGTCATAAATGTAAGCGATCGTATTATGAAGTCTACACAGAAGTTGTGTTTTAGTCCATGAAATAAGTTGTGTTATTGGAAGCAAGACTGCATTAATAGTTAAAAATGAAAAAAAAATTTACTTTAGAATCAAGTTTTAAATTAAATTAAAATTAATTTTAAATTGCGGCATAAAGTATCGGAAATAAAGAATGGTACCATGATAATTTAACTTAAACTTTATATTTAACTTTTTAACATTTTCAAGTTATAAATTACTATACATTTGAAAATGAAAATAAATTATACTTTAAAATTCTATTTCATTAGAGTGCTTTATTCCAAGTCTTCGCCAACATAACTAGTGCACTTAAATACTTAGAAAACAATATCTTCGGTAACTGAATTCATCCCCATGTGTACTATATTTTCCGGATGAGCATCTGCCATCTCTTGGCACACTTGCGGTGTGCTATTAAAACAGTTTAAAGTATTCTAAAGTGCAAACTTATTATTAATAACTCCGGCTGGTAGTAATTTTGCTTCTATATTTTCATATTTCAGTTTAGCGCTTACAAATCGATTTGTTTTCAGTTTATTTGTGCGGTTTTCCGTTGCGTTGTGCAGCGCTTCATTGCACTTTAATCGCCGCATAAATCCCAACAAGAGCTCCAGAACGTTCGTGCAGATAAATGCGAGCAACGTGCTCACATTTCTATGTCTCGCCACGGATGCCGTGGTGTTATTAATGAGTATCTTCATTTACATTTTGCGGAAAATGGGGTTTGCATATGTCCGGCCAAAGCCAAAGTAAAGTTTTCATTTCAATTATGCTTTTAAGTGGAAAATTCTGCTGCCAACGAAAATGCAAATTTTCTCATTTTCTTCGAACTGTAACTTAATGTGAAAAATTTTAATATTTCAGCATTTAGCTCTTCATTCATTCGAATTTATAGTTGCACTTTTGGGGTAATGGCAGAAAAACGGTCACTTGGGTTCACTGAATTAATTAACTTTTGTGCTCATACTTCTTTCATGAAATAATTATCTTTGCTTATTATTTGAAGTCATTAAGTTATTTATACGTATACTTAAATCTAATGTTTCGTATTTAATATTTCGTTGGCTGTCTAAGAGGAAAGTCTTTTTTATTTTTGGTTTTTTAACAATTGGACTAGTATACCATAGCTAAAGACACACCAATTATCAAACTCTACAATAAATTTAGATTCATAAATTTTGCGGACCTACATTTCACTTTAATGGGACTTTAATATTAAATAAATACTCTTTATAAGGAGGGTTTTTCAAGCAGTAGTTAACTACAAAAATCACTTCATATTATTTTAATTAATTGATTTTTTGACTGACCATAGAGCTGTTTTGAGTATTGCCAAATATCCAACATCAGTGGTCTTGGAAATAATTCTTGCATTTACTTTTGTAAATACTTTTAAGTAATACAAATTCAATTAAATAAATATATTTTTAATTATTTTATATAAAATAAAAGAGATTGCAGCTATAGTAGCATTAGTAATACATATTTTTCATTAAATTCAGATTATTTTTAAAACAAAATTTAATGTATAGAAGTTTGATGTAAACTATAATAATAATTATAAATATACTTTATTTATATAAATTAAATTAAATAATTATTAATTCAAATATTTTTATATTTTTTTTGAATTATGTCTGGTATTTTGTATTATTTATATAAAATATAAAAATATTTAATATAAAAATATTACTTGTCTGGAAGTAGATTTCTTTTGTTTTTTATTTCTTTAGTTATTTGTACATCTGTTTTATAATAAAAATAGTTTAAGTACTTGTAAGGAACTAATAAGGTTGAGTTTAATGAAGATATTATTCTAAACAAGATTGACGAATCGTGTTCTCTTGAGTCTTCGAGTTTTCATAAGTTCATTAAATGAAAGTAAGTTAATTAAGTAAGTTGATTGATGCTTTCGGCTGAAATGTATTATTTCTGCGTTTATAGTTGCTATTTTGAGGTCCTATCCTATCTATGAAAGTAGATTATATACTTAATAGGAATATATACATACTATATCACAATGGTTACAGGCTCCTCGGGGAGGTATGCCGATCTGAGGTCAATTATTGCTTAGTCTGATCAAATGATAAATAATAATCCAGTCAGGGCGTAGAGAAGGGTTTTGAAGAAACCTCACAGTTAATAGAGAGTAAAAGTGCGCAAGTGCACTGATTCAACTAGCTTCAGCATAATAATATACACATACTATCGGACAGTCAAACTGTTTTAAAGTCCTTAAGTTTAATTCAGTTTACATGTAGGACTGCTACACATCTTTAAACGAGATGTCAACAGAGCTCAATATTGCTCTAATCTGGGTTCCCGGTGCTAGGGATGTTTTTGGTAATTGCACAGTAGACATGGTGCTTCAGGAAATTAATCGGAACACCTAAATAATTTGGGCACATTATTAGCTTTATTCAAACTATCACTGATTTAATGAGTTTTACTAGTAACTTTCCTTAAGTTGTTGGTAAAACAGTAATATATATTTCCATATGTGTTGGTTAATATCTAAATTATACCTACTAAATTATACCATTCATATACCTACTTATACAACTTAGAATAACGCTAGTTCTTATGCTTTTGTTTTTTCTCTTATTTTTGTTTTATATTATTTTATTTCATGTAATATCCTTTCCATTCCTTAAGGTTTTCAACATTTCTGATCATTATAACGATCATTTTTCAGCTGTTTCTATTGCCTTTCTCTTAACCATCTATTTACCATTATATTTGATAATACTAATAAATTTAATACCAGTCATTTGTGTTGCGATTTGTGATTTATTTACAACACAAAGATTCCTTTAAGTGGATAAAATCACTTTCTTTTTCAAGGGTTTATATATATAAATTCAATTTCTATCAGTCATAATTTGAAACAATATAAATATATTGAAACAATATACAAAATATATATTAACGCTTATGTAAAATTTACGAGCTAAGAAATTTTAATAAAATATATTTTTAGTAAAGGCTTACCTCAGATTACATTTAATATTAATCCTTAGAAAAATTTTTTTCAAAAGTTATAATTATAACATATGTCTAGATTCATTTGAAATTTAACAATTCTATTTAATTTGTTCCCATTTACAATACCTACTTTCTCACCGCAGCTAAATTCGAGCGGTTTTAATTTATTTTTGCAACAATCATTCAACTTTTCTGAGTAATACACCCATGCATATTTCGATTGAAGTGGTATACTTAGTCTATGTCGTATGATACCAGTAACCCAGACATCATCTATCCAAAAAAATGGCGTATCTGCAGCTTCTCGTACTATACGTGTTGCTGTCAACGGATTTGTTATATAAAAATATCCTGAGAGATGATATGGATATATGTTGGGCTCAAAGTCCTGCGATGAAACGTACCATTTTGAGTCATGAGTACGAAATGGTTGATTTGAAATTAATACACTACCGGACAAAAAATGATCCGATTGAGCAAGAAAGAGTTCGTTTTTTAAAATTGCAAATAAATACTTTCGTAAATAATAAATATCATAAACCACGTCATCATCAACTTTTATTATAAATAGCGCTTTTTTACATTCCTGACTCGCCCAACGTAAGCCCATAATATGTTTATAACTGAGGTTATGATAACTATCATAGAAATTGCCTTGTAACAAGTCACCGAAACGGCGTTGTTCATGCTCAAGTAGATTACGTTTTATTGGAATTTCCATAGCTGGTGTATCGGCGAGTAAAAACACACGTTGAAAACCTAATTCCCCAAGTCTGCATTGAGGCAATGCAGAACGGTGTGCCAAACGTAACGTATTGTGTTCCACATACGAAGTCACAATGATAATACCTAGCAAAATATTCCACTTAGTACATATTCCACTTGAGACAAATAATGAGTGAAGATGCTTACCAAGTAATCGATTTTGGTAATTATGACATTGCTCTGTTTTTAGGATGTACTGAAAATTTGTTAGATTCAATAACTGACTTACATTGTAATTGATTTCTACTTCCTCGTTCTCATACCTATTTGTGCTAAAATGAGATATGCTTAAAATACATGTGGTACAAAATAATAGTGCCAAAAATAGAAGTTTCCAAAATATGGTTTCATACAATAAATTTAGAGTCATTTCAAAATAAAGTGATTATTGGTACATTAAATATTTTTTTGATTTTATATATATTAATTAACACATTTAATTTCTTTAATTCAATGTTTTTTTATACTACAGATAAAAATATTATTATTACTAACAGAATGCTTACTTGATTTAAATTCAGAATATAATTCCGAACTTTCTAGGGGGTAAAATTAAACTCCAACTATTCAAAATGTTATAGTTCTTTTATTTAAAATAAAATTTAAGTGAATTTCTTGATATGGCCGTCTTTAGAGTGAAATGCGGGTCTGAAACCATCGAAGAAATGTTGCGCATTGTACATATAGGAAACTGCGAAGTCTATAATTATATATGAAACGGAGTAACCTGAAACGTATCAAGTTCCTGTATTTTACAAAACTGACCAAAATCTCTTCATAAGTTCTTATCGGTGTTGATAGCACATTGTCATGGTTGTGGTTGTGTTCAGGTGTAGAAAACTTTATTTTACATTATGTATCAGTGTCTATCTTTGGCCAACAACAGAGTTAGCTGACATTTACTTACAGATCTGATACAATTGTGAATCTTTAAGATTAAAAATATAACAATAATAATAAACCTGTCATAGTAGTTCTATTTTATTTGTATTTTCGCTCCTTTTTTAAAGTTATTCGTGCACTGATTACTTCGGTTGTAATATCTTTTTTAATGGTGCTCATGGTCTGATATGCAAAACTATGGGATATAGAAACCGATATGAAGAAAATGGAAAATCTAGTACGCACCATTGAAATTGATGGACTTTTGTAGAGTGACTCGAATAGGTGCCAACCGGTTATGGCATTAACAAATTGCAAATCATGTGCGTCATTAAGATGACGAGAATGAGAAAGTATCGCCTGATTTGCTTACTAAAAAAAATTCACGATTTCGAAGATTTTGTACAATATCTGTTGACGTTCCTACCTTCAACAAAATCTTATTAAATTTTAATTTGTATTTTATACCACAAATTTTATATACTTTTTGTCTGAAAAGATAAAAAGCTGCTTGCTAAAGTAGGCTTTGGTTTTTTAGGACTCTAAGTTAACCTTTTTTTAGTCTATGATATGTCCCATACTGATAATTCAAGTAAGCTTATATTTGAAGATTATGTTACTTACTGTAAGAACGAAATCAAAGACTATCCAGCTAGTCAGTTTGGTATTTTATGAAACGGTGCAGATTCTTTATGCTTTATTTCTCTACTTTTTCTAACCGAAATGTCTGATTCGTCATGGTGTCTGTGTATCTTATATATGTAAGACTTTTTAGTGGTAGACATTCGCATTAAATATTCTAACGATATCAACAGAGAGGGACCATAAATCTTTTCAACTTTTTAATCCAATACAAACGAAGACATTAAACATCAACCAGATAACAGTTTGGAATCATTTAAAATGAGTAGGCTACACAAAGAAGCTCGATGTGTGGGTTTCATATGAATTAATGCGAAGAAATTTGATTAATCGAATTACCATCAGTAAAACACTGCTGAAACGCAATAAAATGGAACTGTTATTGAAGCAAACTATTACGGATGTTAAAAAATGGATTAGATACGAAAATATCTAACGTAAGTGATTATGGTCAAAGGCCGATGACCCTTCACAAACGATTTCATAGCTTGAATTGATGGCAAACAAGGTTTTGTTAAATGTTTAATGGGATTGGAAGGGAATTGTCTATTCCTGGTGAAACGATGAATTCGTTCTGTACTGCTCATAATTCAAGGAAAAACGCCCAGAATTGACCAACAGAAAAAGAGATGTGTCCCATCATGATAATACTAGACCGCTCACAATTAAATGTTTTGAAGCAAATTAACGGAACATGGTTGGAAGTTTTAATGCATCAACCGTAAAGCCTGAATCTAGCATCCTCTGACTACTGTTAGTCAGAGGATGCATTATGAAGCTACCCGAAAAATGGCAACAGATCTTAGATTATAATGGCCAATATATACTTAATTAATATAAATTTTTAATAAAAAAATATGCAATTAAATCTTTTAAATCAATAAATTATTTATAAATTTTATTTTAACCACATTAAACATATTAATTTGAAGCATTGTTGTTAATAGCAATAAATTATTAAAAATAGAACATTTAAATAGTTTACTAAATTATTCCATTAAATTACGCAGTAACAAAAAATATGAGCTGCTAGTTTTTACGAACTGCAAATATTCGAAATAATTTTACAAAATCAAAAGTTTTGCATAAAAACTATCTTACAGCCATGAATGTTGCCAACGTCATGAATGAAAACCACGAAATATTAAAATAAAATACACGTTGAGTTCTTATCATCATCATGTAAATAATGGTTTTAAATTCCTTGGATTGATTATACCATTCACATTCATAAAAAGCGGAGCATATTTTATCACTCTACGCCCATGCAATGAAAATAATTAAAATAGTTTTACGGAATTGGTTTTAAATTTCAGAAACGGAATTCCAAATTCGTGCATATCATATATATTTCAAAATAGTACAAAAACTCTTTTACCTCGGTGGCTAAAAGTTGTCCATTGTAGCAGTAGCTAACCACTTGGTAACCTGCTGCAGACAAATACATCAACATCCGAACAAGAGTCGCTTTATCGGATTCCTGAAATTAATTAAAAAAGTTTCCAATCCAATAAAAAAAATAAAATATTTTAAAACAATGGCGGAAAAATATTTTATACCAAACTAATGCTCATCTCAAATACGACAATGCCCAATATAACCAAACTGAGCAGAAATTGGGATAAACTGACATGCTTGTATATATCATCGACTTCATTCAAAAATCTATTCGGAATAAAGAAAAAACTATTGCTTTAAAAAATAGTTCAAGGATTGTGTTACAGTGTTATAATCGTTACTCAATGGTTCGATTGTAATGCGAAACACAGCTTCGTAAATATTTAATTCGACACTCCTCTGGCACTAAGTGAGATGTTGAATACTTCACCATCATGCGAAGTACGCGATACAAACCGACTCCATAATCAGCAAATGTGAAAAATAAACCGTCAAAACTTACAGCCGCTGAAGGAATTGAATGTGAGGACATGTAATATGTTACTTTTGTTTATTAATAAGGATCTAGGGGTCCTAACATACCAAATCCAGAGATGTAAAGTGATGATGCATTTAGAAAATATTGAATTTCATAATACGGAAACTGTAGTCCTTTATCCTGCCAAAATTTATACATTCCAGTGAAAGCTAAATGGATTAAAATAGAAAACTATTATTATGATATGTGTAGGCGAACGATTTCTTCTTCTGTTCATATGATTTAATGATAAAGTAAATAATTTGTGGAGTGTTGAGTATTAAAGTGATCCAAAGAAAGATGTGATTTGTACAAGAAATGAAAATAGTGATCTATATCCTAAAAGAGTCTTCTATTCTCAAAAAACAAAACTAAGTGAAAAATCCTAACAATTTCATCATTTAATAGGTTCATTATAGCAAAACGGATGCAATGCTCCAATGAAAGTAAAGTTAGCTTCATTAAAAGTCTGATTGTACTTTAATTTGCAATATTATATTATTAAAAGATGAAATTATGGCGCAATACTTGCTGGAGGCTATGTGTCCATACCAAGATAAATGCAATCAGATACTTTACCTTGTATGTTCCCTTCCTTGAGTATTTCGAAAACAAAAAAACTTTGTAACTAGAGAAATTGAAGGGTTTGACAAAAACTGTTAGAAATCCAACCTACTTTGCTTACCGGGTGTTCAGTTATCTCTTTAAAGATAACTTCTATAAGCAAGCATCGTCTTTCAACATTTTACACCTATCACGTATCATTTTCAAAATCAGCGCGAACTATTCATTATTCATCGACAATTAATTGTCATATATTACTGTAATTGTAATAAAATTACATATGAATTCTGCGATTTAACATTTTGTCACACATAAAAACGTTTTACATACTAAAGTATATTTTACTGATTTTTTCAGTAAAATATATATTAAATATGGTAGCTTTATGTTAGTTCGTTACAAGGAGTGCAACCATTACATGCAGAAATTACTCAACTCGATAAATAAGATAGAGTGTATATAATTAATAGATACTTGTTGTATTTTGACCATATAGCTAATACAGTCAGAGGATGTCTGTATATTGGAATCTTTTATAAAATTAATTAAGAGATCTACTGAATATTTCCCTGCAAAAGTACATTATTGTAGGAATGAGTCCTAGACTTAAGAATTGAAAAATGAGCTCCCCTGACAACTGTTTGCATATTCTTAGTTCAAGTATCACAATGGGCCACATTCTCGAGAGTAAGTGAGCCAGTTATTTCAACATGAAGAGCAGACACGTACATATTGGTTCAAACGAATTTTTTATAAATTTATGGAACTTTGAAAAGGAACACACCATATGAAAATATATATCAACTAAACGACCGTCTGCGTATACTGGTCTTTTCTACGAGGCAAGCTGCCGCATTTAACTTTGTTTAAAGACCTTTTTTTAAATTTCTGAAGCTTTAAAAAGAAACATACTAAGTGAATATATGTAAATCAGCTTATAATATTATATAGTAGTAATAAACAATATATATAGAATATTTTCTGATGTGTTAAAAACTTACGTAATTGTGGATAATAGTTTGGAGTTCCAATATGTTGATGATAAGCGTTGACAGCGATAGCTGTAATGTAATAATTTGACATAATGCCTAAACAACTTCCAATATAAAATATAAGTTGAATTCGAATTGTTTTCCAAACATCATTCATTATGTTATCAATCTCAGTTTTCAGTTGAGTTTTTATTGCAAAATCTAAAATTGAATAGAATAACTATAGACATGGAATAATTAAACAAATTAAATTTATTATTGTGATTATTCTCAGCTATTTTAAGCCCGTGTGGGTCAAAGTCTTCTATACGACATTTTTCAATATACATAATTTCATAATTTTGAATATTTACTATTCTTTAGTCCAATTCTACTACGTTCAGCCATAATTTCCTTGCTAATCTTCTTACCCCTGAGATAACTTGTTTGCCTTCAAAAATCTTTTGAAGACTGCTAAGATCGTTATATATATAATTACCTGTGTGAAAAATTTCAATTTGCTGCAGTACCTCATGTTTGCGAACTTTGCTTAATAATGCAGCCATTCTACGTTGTTGGTCCAAACAATAAATCATTTTTATTATGGAAACGATAGTTTGAAAAGCAGTACAAATACTCTATTGGTAATTAAAATATATAAATAAATTTATAATTATTATTTCATGTTTACTTCTCCAATCTTCTTCATGTCATGACTGTAGTAAACTATTTGATACCAATGCGAATACAACGAAAATGTCGACGTTAATATTAAGAAAATGTTTAGTCTTAAAAAAACATTTATATTAAATTACAGTTATTACATAAATATGTTTATTAATATAAACATATAACATCAGTTACTTACATTCGAAGCGATTCCCTGGCAAAAGTTGGCTTGGTGAAATTCACACCTATAGCAAAGGATATTCGTACCATCTCTTTAAGGTATTGATAGTTTCGCTTGTCGAGCGCTTCAATTTCTCTATCGGATAACATTTTCACTTAATTTGGAAACTTTTGGTTGATGTCGAAACCTTAATCTGACATTGTTTAAAATTCTAGGCAAAGGACTCTCCTTTTATACTTCAATATTAGAAAATTTGTGCGGATGCCTAATGACATTTTAATATACCTAAAGAATCGATTTTTTGTATCTGAAGGTGTTAATAGTTATTAAGACTGTAAAATAAAATTTTTTTCACACTTCGGCATTGTGTAATTAAAAAACTATTAACGAATATTGGAACACATTACATATTGTGTCGCAGCAAATAAATAATGAGAATTTTACGTCATATGAATGGCATATGTTTTATTTAAGAATTTCATATTGATTATCTCACTCCAGTTTTTGAATCTTTAAGATGCTTTCTGCTTTTAAGTTGATTTATAATTTGTTATACAACGTATTTTTTCTAGTATTATTACCACACTTTTGATATTTATGCGTTATTTGCATAGGAGTGGAATCTTTATCACAACCAAACCTACTTAATCCATCATACTAGTACGTATATTTAATATTATTGAATTTTCATTGCTCAAAAAGTATCCGGATTTTGTTGTTTGTTAACAACTCCTTAAGTAAAAGACCTTTTTCAAAAATTTTAATGTTATGTTATGGTACATAACATAGTGGTACACCCTTTCTTGACATATGGTACAAATTTGAGCGCCATCTGTCAATTAGTTTGTTTACAGCAGCTGTTAATGTGAGACTACCTCAAGTGCATTTAGCGATTTTTACTATGGAAAATTCTGGTTGTAAGCGATTTTTTGGCCAAATACGGCGCCACTGTCATCGCTCATGCACCCTATTCTCCAGATCTGGATCCGTGCGACTTTTTCCTGTTCCCGAAACTCAAATTGCCCCTTCGTGCTAAGTGTTTTGAGTCGATTGAATCGGTAAAAGAGAATTCGCTGAAGGAACTAAAAGCCATACCTTCACGGGCCTACGAAAATTGTATGGAAGATTGGGTTAAGCGTTGGCATATGTGTATCGGTTCAGAAGGAGCATATTTTGAAGGAGATAAAATAAATTTGGAATAAACTTTAAATATGTGTGTTTTATTTACAAAATCTGAGTACTTTTTGAGCAGAAGGTATATAAAAATTTTCACAGCATCAGTTGTTGTTTTTATTGCAAGGTAACCATAACGTAACGTCTTATAGACACAATAGTGAGAGAAATTAATAGAAATGCATTTAAATTATTTGTAAGGGTTAGGCAATAAAGAACTGACGTCAAGAAATTATTCGATAAGTTCGTTTTATATTTAAAATGTGTTTTTAATTACAAAAATTACTTAATTTTTCTATATGAAATTTTAATACATTTATTCCAATCAGTCTCCAATTTGTGTATTCCATCTCAGCAGGGATTTTCTGACAGGTCTGTAGCAATAATACCTTTTTGTTTGCTGATTTTTCCTCAAAAAATTGTTTTTTAAGGTATGACAAACACAAGAAATCAAAGTGATTTAAAATTGACGAATATGGTAGATATTGTAACAATTAATGGAGTACATATACACGCCAATGTTAAATTTAGTTTATCAGTTGCTAATATAATATTTACAGATATAGAATTCCGAAGAAAATTCATTACATCACTGATAAAATATAATATCCTACACCACAAGGCTATGTTTTCATACTGTTCCGTCTACATTAGACTATATATATTAAATGATTAAAATTTAGTCTACTTTAAAAAATATAGCTTAACTTTGTATTCAAATTTACTGATGATATTATTATTGATTCTATGGGGTGTTCTTTTAGATATATGGGAACTATCGATATCGATGGCTATGGTTTGATAGCTGAGAATGTCAAACTAAGTTGACATTTCTGTTAAGTAAGGTTTGGCAATTCATCATGAATCGTTTAACGCTCAAATAACTCTTTTAAATTGTGGAAATTTACTTTGAAAAAAATATGTCTGTTCGCAAAGTTTATAGAGCCGAAGATAAACACTTTTATTAAAGAATTGTGTTTCCTAATAAAGCTTATTTCTGGTTAACTAGCTAGGTCAATAAACAATATTATAATCCTCAAACCATTAACGAAGCACCATTACATCCATTAAGATAATGCTGTTTGGTGTGGTTTACATGCGACGGCGTCATCGGTACTTATTTTTTTCGAAATGTGGAAGGAACTGCCGTTATGGTGAATGGCAAGCGCTATCGAGCCATGCTGACTGAATTTTTATTTCTAAAAGTTAATATGTTAATAATAATAATAAGTCGATGTTTCGACGATATTTGGTTCCAACAAAATGACGCCGACACAACTGACCATACAGCGCACTTAACAATCGATTTGTAGCGAAATTACTTTGGTAACAAATTTATTTTCAGAAGTGGTCCGGTTAACTGGTCTGTTAACCCTAGTTTGTACAATTTAACTCCTTCAGATTACTTTCTATGGGGCTATCTTAAGTCATTGGTTTATGTCGACAAACCAGCAATTCTCATTATAAGGTCTCATATAGTTAAAAAAACACGCGATAGTGTAGTTTTGTGTGGTATTGTGTGCTAACATATATTGATCAATTTCTGGAGATGGATGAAATTACTTTCAAACTAAAATGTTAAATTCATACGAATACTTAGTATCTTGCATTGGACTCAATATCATATAATAGATATAAGTTTCATCTAAAGTGATGAAAAGACAAACAAAATTTCTTTTGTTCTCAACATCTCGCTTGCTACCTATTTTTGAAATGTAGTGTAGTGAAATGCCTAATGGTGTTTCTAAATCTCTGTGAGACTACCAATATTCTTCTAAACCACATCCTATATTTTTGCGACTATGAAATGCGTTGGATGAAATTCAAGGCAAGTACGACCATTTATACACAAGCCAGCCAGTTACTAACCATTATTTTTTAAAGAGCAGAAATCTATTTACAACTTATGAAAGGGTTTCCATTGCTCTTATTTAATTCTTACTTTAAAGAAAGTTGATTACTACACAATGTTACACTTTTGCATTGTAAAAGATACATATGTCAACTTTAAATATCCTGTAAATAAATACGAATTAATCAAAATTTAATTTAACTATATTCTTATGAAGATAGCCAATGGAAGCTATCGAGGATGTACCTCTGTTAGTATGTTTTATGAAGTGTATACGTGTGGTGCATTCATATCACTCTTATTAAACCACATAAATTTCTTTAAAATGACTATCTCATATAAAATAATTATATTATTAATAACATTGATGTTAGAAGAACCTACTTATGTTAACGGCAATAATGATAATAACAATGATATTGATATCACGATTTCAATAGTATTATATTATAAAAGTCAGTTTAAATACATTATTTTATATTACAAAATTTTTACTCAATCACATTTAAAACGATTTAATAAAATTTACGATTATTTTTGTTTAATATTGATGATATAATGCAAATAGTTTGAAGGTATTAAATTCATTATATAACTTTTATCTTTTAAATTATCTTTTATAGTAAGAGAATATAAAGTTTTTGATATTGATAAATAATGAAAACACTTTTAAATAGAAAATAAATCTAAAAATCTGATTTACATCTAAGACATTTCTTTCTTGGAGCGAATGGCATATATTTGTATTTTAAAAGCGATGAAGCAATAAAACACAACAGATCAATATCAAATTTTAATAAAGCCTTTAAAATATCACACAAAGGTGAAAATGCCTGGAGCCACGATTTTCTCGTTGTGTCAATACATCCATACCTCGCCGTTTCAGTTGCTTTCGAATTTTGGAAATCGAAAAATGCATTTTTGCATCTTCCGAACTTCGTTTGAGATTTCGTGGGGCTTTGCAAATAACACACTTGGCTCAAATGCTTTGTCGAAAATTTATTTGATAAAATTTAGTTATTTCGGTTGATATATGGATTTGCTTTACTTGCAATCTCTGCACTTCAAGTGTCTTATTTTCATGGCAACATACAACCTCTGAGGTATTACCTCTGTTACAACTTCATTTTGTTTACATTGTACGTGCCAAAAGAAGCTTTATGATGCAATTGAAATTTTGTAAAATCTTAAATAAAATGGTAAAATGATGAGAAATTTATTTAATATGAGAAAAAATCATTTTATTTGAAATATATAAACAATTCCTTTTCTTTAAGTCTTGCTCTAATTTTACATTTATATAAGTTTTCGGATTGTTCAACTCAATTGCTTCATGGAGATGAATTACGGATTTATTAGCTAACCATATTTATTAAAATAGAAATTATTGTCGAAATATTCAACATATTATTTTTAATAATAAAGCTCAGTTAAATCTAGTTTTTGAAACTGGACGGTTTGAATTAAGAAGTACCGCTTCACTAAGCTTGAGCTATAAAATTAGATTGCTTAGATTACTTTAAATTTAGTATCTGCATGGAATAATAATCAAAACAGTTCACAGTTCAAGGAACTTGATACATATTATTATTAGAGGACCAGACTTACTGCAACTATAGGACACTTATAAAAAATATGCTTAAATTTTTCGATGTCCATTTCACAAAATTGACAGATATTACTGACAGGAAACCCCAATTTAAAGTGGTGTGTTAGAATTTTTAAAGTAACTAGATAAAATTGTGCTATCTGCTTTATTTAGCAAAAGTACCAGATTTAGTATTCCTTTTGCACTTGGCCTACGCTATTAAGGCAATAGTCTTGCTAATTTCTTATCATAAAGCAAGAAAGAAGAAGAAAATTAAGGTCATGTTTACCATTTTTTTGAGAATAGTAAATCAACTATTTTGATTCTTGTGTTGTACTTATTCTTAGGTCTATTATAATAATACAAAATTATAGTTCCCGTATTAAGAAGATAATCTCCTATACTATTTGTATGAACTGGATCAATTTCATCAGATACAATACCACCTTCTTCAATTTTCTTTTCTTTTCCAAGGTGTTTATGGAACATGCAGCCCATTTCTGTTTTTCTGAAATCTTTTTTCTTGGTAATAAAATATTAATAATAATAATTTTCAGTTA